GGATGAAAAAAGTGAATTTTCTTAAAACAAGTCAAATAATCTTAACAATATTCAGTCTTACTAAGAAAATACATTGAAAAACAAGTGTAATAAGAAAAAATGCTGAATTCAAGTTTATTACACTTGTATAGATTTTCCTTTTTTGCAGTGAAGTTGCAGGATACTGGGCCTCAGGAACTGCAATTGCCCAGCCCTGGTTTAGAGCCTTACTAATACAGAAAAGTAACAGCAACAATATCTTAGACTCATAGTTATAGTGAAGGAAAAGTTCATAAGGTAAGTAATAGCTATGTTTGCCATTGTTTAAATTTCAGTTTGGTTATATAAGGTACTTGTGATTTCATTACATGCTGGGCCAGCTTCAAGGCATCCTTGGCAAATATTACTGCAGCAGCCCAGGTAAAAAAAACACACAGCAGTGAAACAAGGCTTGCTATACCTCTGGTAAAGATAACATTACTAGTTATTAGTTCATAAAATATAACTTAATATACAATGCTTTAATTAAACATGGTTTTCAAACAAATAGTCTACTGCTGTTTCAAGGTATTATACCCTGTCATAAAGTTAGCCTCTTCGTTATTACAGAATCTAACAACAGTTCCCTTTCCGAGAGGGAGCAATCTGTGATTCTTCTATATATTATTTCTGAACATCCGTAGGTTCTTAAAAAATCAGGAGTTAGGTTCCAGCTGCTCATAAATGCACACTAATAGTAACTACTAACCTGAAGCAACAGATATATATACCACCCTGAATAATATTGTGTAATCATCATAGGTTTTGCCTCCCTCACACATGATTATCTTAGGAATACACCCTGCTCTTGAAGCTTTTTTTATTTTTACATTGGTTGACTCTTATCTTCTTAATGTTGTAATGTTCTCTGTTTTCTGTTCCTTTCATCTCATACAGGTATTGAAGCGAAGCAGACTTCTAGGAGTTACTGTATATCTCCTGTGTTGTTTATTTGAGTTTTCTTTTTTTTTTTTTGCTGTATTCTCTCTTTTTTTATGCCCTCTTTCCTGTCTCTATCTCTTTCTCTCTTCCCTAGGTTATTATCTACCCTTTTTTTCTCACCTCCGTTTCTGTCCTTCTGTCTGCTTATTACGATTTTACTCTTAAATAATTTTAAATAAAGTTATATATACAAATACCAATTACAATCTTACAGCAAGAGTCATAATCGTCTACATGTGAAATGACACATCTTTTGTGTTATCATCTAGTTCTGGGATATCCATTCCCAGAGCTATTGTACTTTGGCAAAACAGTTCAGTCTGAAAAACTCACATGAAGAGAAAAGACAATTAGGAGAAATGTATTAATACAATTACTTTGTCTTAGGCGCTCACACCTCGGCAGGAAACTAGTGCTAGAAAATACTAGAAAATAGTGCTTAATTTTGATAGATATGCATGAACAGGAGCAAAAATAGGGCTGTTCCCCCCAGGCCTGAAACTGGTGGTGGAGTGGAGATAGATGAAGTTGGTCAGTCTGTAGACTGCTGGTTGGTGAGTCGGTATGCTGAGCTTTATGGGGAGATCCTGTGGACTGCGTGAGCTGATACTAGAGCTTCACTCAGGGACCTGGTTGATGGAATTCCAGTTGGATAACACATGTTGAGAGAACTGGTCCATGATGAGAAAGCATGAAGCAACGGTGGAGAGGAAAAACTCCCCGTTGGGAAGAAACCTCTGGCAGAACCAGGCTAAACATGGCAGTCTTCTGCTGTACCCGTTAAGATGAGACTGGCCATTTAGGTCCTCTGAATGGCAGCATTTTTTCACTAAAAACTATTTCACAAAGGGACACTTGAAATTCAAAATACCTGTGGCAGCCTATGGCAATGATTAAAACAACTAATTTAAGTTAATTACTATATTAATGATTATGTTTATTCTGTTAAGTGATGCTGATTAGAGGTTGAATTAAGCTTTTAAACACAAGCTGTTCCAGTTCAACTGTTATATTATTGGAATGTCACAGAAACATTTAAATGCCTTTGTCTGTTCTATGCCTCCAGCTCATTGTTGTCCTCTGAGCTTAATTAGGGGCAACTGGCATCTTATGGTTGGTGAAAGTCCCTCTTCTCTCATGAAAAATTATTTAACAGTACCTGATTTAAAGTACACTTTAGTAGTTCCACTTTATTGAGCTCTGAACTGTCTTTTAAGAAGAAGAACAGTTAACAGCAATACAGCATCTGTTTTAGAAGGAAGATTATTTCAGCTACAATTATTTGAACAGATGAAATAATTTTTGCATCATTGAAGGAATTTTTTTTTGCACAGTTCGTGCTTGCAGGATCAGTCTCAGCAGAGCTCTGAAAGGCATTACATGCAATTCCTACACTGATGACTTTTAGTATAGACTGCTGAGATCAGAGTGGTAAAAGATGCTTGTGATTGAGGCTTTGCTACTCAGTAAGTGGTTTATGTCAAGATGTATGAGTTGTTCTGTTTTGATGAGACCCACAGGTCATTCAGGGGAAGGCTATATTAGTGATAAACACGAAACATGTTTGACCTGATATGTTGCAATAAGAATAAAAGCACACAAAAAAACGATTATCTGAGAAAACTAGATATACACTGAAATATTTCTTGACTAATATCTATATTAATTAAGTCATTTAATTGTTTATTTAGTACACCAAGGCATGTTGGCTAGTAAAGAGGGAATATCAGTACAACTCAGCAATAGTGTTCCTATTATGGTCTGGAACCATTATGCCCAGCTGATTGATTTCACTCGGGGAGAGGTATAATTAGAGACTGAATACCACCCACTACACTGCCCTGGGTCATTGCTGGACTTAGCGGAGGAAAAGAAGTAGGTCCTAGAAAACTTGGCATGGATCTAATCTTACAGCATCTATGAGACATTAATGATTCCAGAATCCTTTTGCAGTGATTGGTTCGTTCAGAGAAGCACATCCAGGAGGTCTACTATTATAGCAAGTGTTTTTATTAATGTTTTTTCTTATATTTTGCTTCTTATATCCTTACTATGTTTTTATTTTCCCAATTACTGTATATATTATTTTACATATTCCCCCTCTTTGCATATTACTTTTAGCTAATTTATTGTTAAAATGAAATGGAAGAGGAGGGGTCTTTTTTCTATTGCCTCAATTTTGTATATTAAACCTGTTTTCCTGCCTTTTTTTATTAAACAAGGAATTCAAAGCTTTCAAGACAAAAACCCAATTTACAATAAATGTTGTCATAATTTTTTTTTCTTTTTTTCAGCCTTAAGTTATTACATTAAACTGCTGACTTGTGGTTTGCGCTCTAAGATGCCGTCTTAGCATTAAATAAGAACAGGAGAAGTGCAGAATCTATTTACTGGTGTGACAGACTCAGATTTACTGTGGACACAGACCCATACTGTGAAATCCTATTTGGAAATTGTTAGCTGTTACCCATCTAAATGGATACTGAACCAGGGTTTTCAAACAGGATCCACCTTTAATTCAATTTAAGTCATAACCTACAACTTGTTTTGCTTCATTCGGTTTAAGTGTTTACAAAGCTTATTTTTGAGAGTGGGAAAAGTAAACTTGACCTGCATTAGAGTTGACTAAGTATATATATTTGTGTGTGTTTGTATGTATATATAGTGCCAGGAAAATAAGATTTACTATATTTATTTTGTCAATTTTAATAAATAAATACAAAACAAAAACACAGAAAAGAAGGAACAAGAAAAAAAATAATTCTTTCACTAACCAGATGTAAGGATAGGATATTGAATCTGTGACCTGACCAATTCCAAAACCTGCCCTAAAAACTTGAAATAAGAGATCACTGATTAACAAGTGATTATACTAGGAGATTATGGGCTGATTTCCCAGATCCTCTTAGCTTATCTTCTTATAACGTGACTAAGGGGTATATAACCATGGCTACATGTAAAAGGAAGAGAGCAGAGACAGCTGCATAGACAGAGCTTTAGGTTTTACAGCTTCCTGCTACTTCAGATCACAGTCTGAGAAGATGGAGAATGGCACAGAAGGCAAGAACTTCTACATCCCCATGAACAACAGGACGGGGCTCGTGAGGAGTCCCTTTGAGTATCCACAGTACTATTTGGCAGATCCATGGCAATTCAAGTTGCTAGCGGCGTACATGTTATTCTTGCTCATCACTGGCCTCCCCATCAATGGTCTGACGCTGGTGGTCACAGCTCAAAACAAGAAGCTCCGGCAACCCCTTAACTATATCCTTGTGAACTTAGCCGTTGCAGGATTGATCATGATCCTCTTCGGATTCACAGCCACCATCTACTCTTCTGTGATGGGCTATTTTGCTATGGGACCCCGTGGCTGTGATATGGAAGGTTTCTTTGCTACACTTGGAGGTAAAGTTTAGAAATGTATAAACCTTCTTACATGTAAATTATTGTTAGCTCAATTAGCCATTCACTGGTTTAACACGACTACTTGTTTTATTCTTTGTTTACAACAGGTCAAGTATCACTATGGTCTCTTGTGGTTTTAGCTATTGAGAGATACATTGTGGTCTGTAAACCAATGGGTAGTTTCAAATTTACTGCTACCCACTCTGCAATTGGTTGTGGATTTACCTGGCTGATGGCTATGTCCTGTGCATGTCCTCCATTGGTGGGCTGGTCAAGGTGAGAAATAACTTGTTTTGATAGCATACTCACACCTGTAAGGCAGTGGAAGGAAAATTAGACAATCCCTTTTGAGTTACTTTAAAGCTTTTGTTATTTCTTGCCTTTATATTTGGTTCCTGGTTTGGAGTTTTTCAAAATCTTTCCATTGCAATATTGCATGTTTGGTATTTTTCAAAGCAGTAACATATACAACTGTGCTTTATTTTTTTCTATGTATAACATGTTAATAACAACCCTGGTGGGAGATTATTCTAACATGCAAACAAATGTATAAATTCTGAAGTCTTAATATTATTAAATAGCATCCACAGTGTATTTCCACAAATTGCAGTAGAATCACGGAGATGAGACAGATGAGCTGGATTTTTCCACTGTCAGTAAAAGAAACAATTTTAACAGATATTTAGATATCCTCTACTGCACTTTTTTTATTCCAAGATCAGGACTATTCTTTATAAGTTATAAACATCAACTAACTAACAACTTAAGAAAAGAACAAATGGCTTACACAGTTGTGCTCTCTCTATAGGTATATACCTGAGGGTCTTCAGGTATCCTGTGGACCCGACTATTACACCTTGGCCCCAGGCTTCAACAATGAATCATATGTGATGTACATGTTCAGCTGCCACTTCTGTTTCCCTGTTTTCACAATTTTCTTCACATATGGAAGTCTTGTGATGACAGTCAAAGCTGTAAGTCTTGAGGTTTAACCCATTTTATATCTATTCATATGACTTACATCTTGTTAAATGCATATGTTGCTTTTTGCACAGATCTTACAAACTTACTGCCAATAGGGAATTTAACTTACTATTCAGTCCAAACTGTATCACCTGTGTGCTCAGTGTAGTATTTTTGAACAATTGCATGCTTTAAATATTTCTTTTCTGTTATGCTATAAAACATAGTTGCTCAGGGAAATACCTGATGGAATGTCAAGATTCGAAATCCTTAGGAAATATATTTTATTTATATTGGTAACTTGCAATGCATGTGACCTGAAACCTCTGTTTTTTTCATAGGATGGTATTTCGACCCAAATATAAGAAACTCTCAGGAGATGTAGTTAAATTTAAAGATTTGGCTGCTGGAAGACATATGAATCACTGTCTGGGGCCCCGTGAAACAGGGCAACAACCATTATGACAAGAAGGAAGAAATTTGAGAAGAGCCAACAATTGATAGAAAAATATTAGGGAGGATTTCAAGAGGATTTGTCTTACTGAGGCTTGGGTTCTGAGGATCTTTGGGGAGAAACAGTTTGTCCAAGATATTTGGCTTCATGTGGTAGCAGAGTTTAGAGCTGCAGTGAGATTGTTGGAGGGCAAAAGGTTCCGAGGGAGCAAGGAGGGCTGCTGGAGATTTTAATCTGCAGATTTTATGAACAGAATTGAAGGGGTTCTTCCAGTAGGTCCTTCAAAGAGAAGGTTCTGAGGTAGACCTGAAAGGTTACCTGCATGTCAAGCTGTGATTACCTGGTTTCACCGAAAGGATGCCTTGCTTGCTTAATTTACCAATGCAAGCAAGGTTCAACTAGTCTGTGGCTCAATCCGAACATCCTAAATTGTAGTTCCTACCATCTGTTCCTGGCACCTATCCATTCACCTTTCACAAGGTTAACAGGAACAACACTAATCGGGGTAGTAAAAGAGATCCGGACTGCTGTGCTGAATCCAGACAGTCTTCAGTCTTAATGATGTCATTTTATGGCATACACACACATGAATGACACTGGTCAAATTGGGACTACAGCCTTCCCAAAAAGAACTACAAAAAACAAAAGTTCACAAGTAGTGAATGGCTGAGGCTTTCTATTATAAAACAGAAAGCATATGAAGAAGTGTATTTTAGCATGTGTCACACAGAGTACATGTTAATCTCCCTGACGTGGGCTGTGCCAATATATCTGTCATGCGAAGGATTATGTGTAACCATATAGTTCCTAGAAGTGGCTAGCGACATAAAGAGTTCATTGGCACTAGGAAACATACCGCTCCTTAAGAATAAGTAACTCCTTGTCCTAGCTCTTTCCTAATTGCCTACTCTATTTTTGGATTGCACTTATTATGGACGTACCTTGCCATGTTTTAAATACCCTGAATGATTTAAGGTATTCAGGTCAAGCAACCGTTGTTGCACACATAAGAAGATATTGCAGTCAATTTTGGAGTTCATTGAGAAACCATACAGTACACCATACAATGTGAATATGCACATAATCTTTTCATCAAAGGTGTTGATAGGCAATTGCTGATAAATTAACTGCATTTCCTTTCTTGAGATATGTCCAAATTAAACATCAAATAATAATATTTAATTCCTCAAAATTAATTTTATGATATGTAGCTTATGAATTGTTGTCATTTCTGGCCAAATGATGGCACTAATATCCTCTCTGTCCATTATTTTGCCCCCTGGTGCTGGATTCAACAAATAAGAAGTATAGTTTTGAACTAAATTGCCATTGCCATGGAGTCAGATTCAGACAGTTTCAGCTATATAAAACCCTAACAACAAAAAAATGAGCCAGACTCGGCCAACTAAGCCTGGCACATGAACTAACCAAGTTTAATCTGGATTTGGATCCCTAACAATTATAATGCCGGAAAAAATAAGGTTAATGAGATTCATACTTTTCCGGAGCATCATTCCTTTACTTGTCTTGCCTGCTAGGGCGTACTTCTGTCTAAATTACATTATCCTTTTTTTCCTAACTGTGAATCCTGATTTAACTGTACCATGAAATTACATACTACTTAACACTGGCATTAATCTGTTGTCGAATTGATTTCCAGGCTGCAGCCCAGCAGCAGGACTCAGCTTCCACCCAGAAAGCTGAGAAGGAAGTCACACGCATGTGTGTCCTGATGGTGTTCGGCTTCCTTCTTGCTTGGGTCCCATATGCCTCCTTTGCTGCATGGATTTTCTTCAACAAGGGAGCTGCCTTCACAGCTACAGCCATGGCCATACCTGCCTTTTTCTCAAAGAGCTCAGCATTATTTAACCCTATTATCTATATTCTCATGAACAAACAGGTCAGTTGTCCATCGCTGTGGTTACACATTGTATTATTGCAAAACTTTCAAAAAATTCTAATTATGTTTAATTGAAATTCATTTTTGTTGGAATACATTTTATTAGAAGTTGCCATTAAGAAGAAACATTTTTGTGAAATGGCTATCTTCTGTACTACAATATAATTATCCATAAGCTTTTAGTTATTGGTCGAAGTCTGCTAATAAATGTATTTGTCTTTCCAAAAGTTTTAATGTTATTTTCCCATGGGAATAAAATACAACATTGTAACTATATTAGAAAAACCTAAATGTTATGTTATATAACTCTTCATGCTTTGATTTCAGTTCCGTAACTGCATGCTGGCAACAATTGGAATGGGTGCTATGGTTGAGGATGAGACATCAGTGTCAACCAGCAAGACAGAAGTCTCAACTGCAGCTTAATGATAACAGCAACATATCTACAGTCGAACTCCTTCCTGATGTTTTCCTAAAGCTGAATGTTATGGACACAAAAATACAGCAATGAATTCAAGAAAAAACTTTTTGCAACAAATGGACTTTAATCTCTAAATACTGGCCTGTGACATTTTGCTGTACACATTTATGAATAATATCTACATTTGAAGAAAAAAAAAAGAAAAAAAAAAGGACTGTAAAATGGGACACAGCCTCAATTATGTTTCCTTGGTGGATTGTTGGTAACATCTGCTTGTTAAATGTTCAGATGGTGAGTGGGTGAGATTCACCTTTGTATATTTGAAATGGGAAATTGTGCATATGTTTCAGCCTCTGTCCTAATAGCCTGTAAATATTTTCTAAAAAAAATGTAGAAAAACAGATTAAATGCATGCATGAAAAGATGTATTGGTTTTTGCTTCCTTGTTTTTAATGAAAGTACTTGAATAAGTGAAATTTTCGCTCTGTCATATCACGTGACAGAGAGACCTACTGGGGTGCAGACTAGACCGGACCAGGCAATTGAACCAAGCCATCAGCTCTGGGGCTGGTCCCGGTCCTGTGCCAGTCAGGGTTTTGTCTTTAAAAATATCTTAAAAATTGTAAACAGCTTAAATTTGCATAAAAGCAAGTGTGCCTTACATATGATATCTATTGGCATGATTCTATATTAGTTTGTCTTAGCTGGTCATAAGATAAGGAATTTATTGATTTTTGTTTCTCAAGAGTGCTTTATTCAAAGATTTGTTGACGATCCCTAACTGCACCACAACGTGTGGGAGGAGGGAGCAGCTGAGAGACACTGGCCGACATCGGAGTCCCCCAGTCGGATCAACCGTTTGCTAGATCCCGCTGACCCCGCTTGAATATCCAATATCCAACTGCAAACCAATATTCACTGCAGTGCTGACGGCTCAGTTCTGCTGCACTGTAGTCGACCAAAATCCTGGACAATTTTGAAATTCCCCCCGAGATTTTTTTAGGTATAAGAATTAGGACATGTTCGGACATCTGGTCACCCAAGGTCAGGGGTTCCGATCAGAGCAGAACAGATAGATCCAGGGTTCCAGAAATCTACAGAGCGTTTAGGCAGAATCAGAGTTCCATGAGTCAAACAGCAAGGTCCGGCTGACATGATCAGACGGAAACAGGTAGGCACAGCAGTTGACAGGCAGACACAAGACATGGTACCAGGGAAGGATCTAGGACTCTAGGAGATCAGAGGCTTAGCCCTGAGGGTGAAGATGAGAGTGTAGACTTTCTGGTAAATCCCGTCCCAATGTAAAATATGACAGATTAAGCCAGGTTTACACTGTGCGATTTTTTTCAATCGTTGCACGCAGCTGCAGCTCACACTGTACGATAAAAACGGCAGGGTCTTGTCGTACAGTGTGAGTTCACAGCTCACGATGTGTGAGCATGTCACCTGATGTATGTCAGGTGGCTAAAATAAGTATTATTTTTTTTTGTCCTGCTATCAGCCAGTTTCCATCCTCTTATATTAGCAATGTAAAATTATAAATGCACACTAAGTGGTGGAAATATGTGTTTGGGCATGGTGACTGACTTTTATTTTTCAGGCTAAAGTTAGAAAAACACAAAAGTTGGAAAAACACAGACTCTCTTGCCGTTTAAAAGAACAACACAAAACTGCTTAAAAAGGACTTGGTCTATTTTTTTATTTATTTTATAATTTTGTAAAACAACAACCTTGACATGATTATAGGAGTTGTTTTAAGCAAGAAATCAATCAAAAGCACCATGAAAATGGTAACACCCACGATGTCCCCTTCACTGGCTTAAATGCGCGCTCCTGACACAAGGGAAACAGAATTTCATACAACACCGGGACAAAGAACGTCTCAAAGTCAGTCAGAGTTTCACATACTTGGGACATCAGTCTTTTTAGCAAAAGCTAGTGGTGACAACTTCTTCCTCTGCACGGGAATGCTACAGGTTGCTTTCCTGCACATGCTGCCACTATCTGGAGAATTCCAGTACTGCACACTTTACTCAGATCAGCTTAGAAGTGAGATCTGGGGCTCTTGGGGAAACATGTGGGGCTGCAGCCCAAGTAGCCGCCCCCTAGATCTGTTACTGCATGGTACCAGGAGAACTGCGGAACTTTACACTGGCTCCCTCCACTGAGCTGAAAAAGGAACAAAGCACACTCAGTGGATAAGAGCCAGGACTACGGGACTTTAAACTAGCTCCCCCTGCAGAGCGAAAACAGGAACAAGACACGCTCAGCGGGCAACAGCCAGGACATAATCAGGAGACGACAAGACAAACACTAAAACCCTCTCTAACCACTGGCCCCCGAGAACGAGGACATGAACCACGGGTATAACTCAAACTGAAACTAACTAACAAAAATACAATGATCTGGCCCCGATTGCTGGGCTGAGCAGATATGTATAAAGCAGCAGGCTCAGGTGGATAAGATGAGTGATAATTAGTGATTGGGGAGGGTTCAGCAGGTGATTGAAGTAAGCAATTAGACCAGCTATCAGGGTAACGAACATGACGCGTTCCATCTAGGATTCTATTTTGAAGACACAAATGTCAGAGTTTTGGTTTTTTGTAGAGCTCTTAGATGCATCACAATTCAGGAGCAAGAATTTGTAAAAAAAAAAATAAAATAAAAAAAAAAATACTGAGAGATAAAATGCTCAAGTGGGTAAAGGATGCTTCCATATATCATATCCAGCTTTCAATCCTAACTACAAATAGATTTTGGTGATATACTGCCCTTTTTTTAGTGCTTTTTTTTTTCAATCTCCGTAAGTGAATAACTAAGTAAACACATATTTCTATAGCAAATTTCAGCTGCTAGACAATACAAAGTGCTTTAAATGATAAAAGAATAAGGACAAGTAATTTACAGATTGGTCCACACTATGTCCAGTCGAGCATCCAAAAACTGTCTGTCTGTCTATTTATCTATTGATTTATTATTGGAATAGAGATTTCTTGTTTTAAAGACAGACAAAAATATCAGTAGCAGTTTAAAAAAAAAAAAAATATATATATATATATATATATATAGTGTTTTTATTTGTCTCATAAAGATGCATTACAAATTATCTCTATTCTTCTTAGTGGCAATGGGGAATAAAAATGTGTGCTGGCCTAAAGGCAGTCAATCTCTACTTTTAATTGCCTAATAGGCTCTTAACAGCTGGGCTGCAGTAAAGCTCTATCCCAAACATAGCGCTTAGTCTCCTTAAATATAAGGAGACCAAGCTCCATAGCAAATATCTATGGAGGCAAAGTATGTAGCTCTGTTGCCTAGTAGCAAAATCAGTCAAATTTGATGTTGTTTTGGGGTTAAATGCACCTTTTTAACCAACATTTATCTATTTTATTGTGAGATCAGGGGCTATTCACCAAAAATGCAGGGTTTTAGCCACTATAAGAATAAATGTAGTTTCTTGCTTGTTACTCATTTTTTAGCACTACCAGCTCTGTTTCATTTCCTTTCTTTCTGATCTTTCTCCCCCCTTGCTGAAGCAGCCCCCTGGAACATCAAATGTTTTAAGGATTTGTCCATTTTAGTATATGTAAAGGTTGGAGCATAATTTGATTGTGTATCATGTCAAAAATGTTTATAATTGCTTTGAGAGTAAATCATAATTATTTAATTTCAAACATGCAAAAATATTCTAGGGCCCCTGCTATGCTTACTTGCAGATAAGGGTTTCCAGACAGTTTCCTTCTTTGCTTATATAATTCCACACCAGGCTTTAACTAAGGGCCTAGGTGGCTTATCGTGTTCTCAGTCTAATAGATTTACACCTGCTAATTGGATTTGTCTTTAAGGCACCGTGAAACCATGAACTTCCTCCAATCAGTGCAGTGCAATTAACATCTTAAACCTTTTGTCTTTTAGCAATAATTGTCAACCAAATAGGGCCAATCTAGAAAAGCTCAAGTTGAAAAACCTAAATATTAGCTTAAGTGTCATTAACATGTAAAATGTCAAATAAGTTATACATCTGATACAGACAAAAAAGAGGGCTAAACCAAAAAAGACCTTTGAGCGTTACTGGTTCACTTATGAGCTATCCCTTAACAGCTATAAAGGATTGTTTCCCAACTGGAATAACGGGACTGCCTGCCTGTCACCACTGAGCGCTTTGGAAGGGAGAAAATACTCAGGTACTATGAATTAAGTCATTTCTTGAACTCACTTTAGTTGTATAATAAGGCTGAATAAATTATGGCACTTTTAAAAGGCATGTTATTGCAATGACAATTAGATTTTGGGGTTATTTAATGTTTTAATGTTTACTTATAATTCATGCAATGGTAATGCATAATGGTAAAAATAAACATTTTTCAAAATGCATTTAGAACATGTAAATGTAATAGCTTAGCTAGGCAAAATTGTATTTGTTGCCTAGCTAAACTATTAGTATTTTATTTTTAGTTATAATTGAACAATACATTTTCGACATAGACCTGTCATATATTATTTTACCTGTTTCCATACAGACATACCGGTATTTATTTGGGATCCTGTGGCTTCTTCATGGCCAGGGAATTCTACCGGGTACCACCTTGTTTTTAAGTGTTATATTTTTCTGTATCAACTCACAGTAAGCTCTCATACTGTATAATAAGCCGACTGTTTGTGTAGTGAGTCTTTGCCATCCTTTCAGCACGTCACATACATATCGTGCTTTTAGGCCTAGTTTACATCTGACGTATAGAGTCCCTTTACATTTTGGGTCTAACGCTTTCTAAAACAATAACACCATCAATTGAAAGTACTTGGTCTTATACTTATTTACTCAGTATCATGAAATCCCGTTTGCGATTAATCAGCATTGCTTCCATGAAAATAGCAGCAGGCCCTTGGGGTTGTAGAAGGCTTTTACAGCCGTTCTGGCATCTTGGTAGCATCCTGGCAGCCACTGGCATTATGATGACATCTTTGCGGCACCCAACGGCCTCTGACCTTATAGGTGTGCTAGCATATGTTCACGTGTTTTTTTTAAAAATCACCACATTATTTTTTCTTATCTCGAGTCAAACCACTCACACAAACAGTCAAACAAAATGTCTAAAGGTATTTTCTGCAAAAGAAAATGCTAAGCCTGTTAATACCTCAAACTTTGAAATATAGTTTTAAAGGATCATATAGATCCGGATCCAAAAACAATATGTAACAAGACAAGAAATAAAATTACCATTTACCCTCAGTTTGATAACTTAGACAAAAAAAGGTATTTTTAAAGGCAGATCCAGTGGTATTTTGAATAAATTGCAGTGGGTATTGTTATAATTCGAATGTGTTCCATCCACTAGCCCACCTGTCGCTCATCCATCTCCTCCCATCGGAAAGCATTGAGTCGCAGAATCCCATCTCCCACTCACCCTCCCTGGATATGTTATCCGTACCTGGCAGTACGCGAAGCGGCATTAGTGCAGATCTTCCTAACTCTACTAGTGTTAATCAGTTTCCTCTTTCCTCCCGCAGTGCTTCTAACTCTGATGTTCCGAACCTGGCCTGCAGCTCACATAGTGAGCTATTCATATCTTTGTATAGCCAAAATTAAAATCTTTAACTGCTCCATGTTCTCAGACTGTGTCTGCATGTGGGCCAAACACCTTAAAACCATGACACATTCTCTCCTGTTCACCTGTCATAATGTTTATCATACAGACACAGCCAGAAAATATTCAGAAATAGAAACTTTGTTATTATAAACACATCTTGATACCTGTGGAACATTTGGAAATTAAAACAAATACATAAAAAATACTTATTCTTACCACCACAGAAATTAGTTGTGTGATAAAACTCATGGATTTTTTTATTACCTTCAGTTAAAGAGGTATTTAAATGGTTTCTACTGTAACATCGTACATCGTATATTTAAAGTGCTTGCTTCAAGTCATCAGGGCCAGATTATTCTTGTTCTCTCATGCCAGTGGGAAGAGTGTTTTTTTCTTAGTTTTTCTGATTACCTGATTCTGACCTGTTCTGCCTCTCAACCACTGCGCCTGCCTGTTCCCATCTGATCTCAGTGGTGAGAGTGTTCTTAGCTTACCTGAGTTTTTCTGATTACCTGATCCTGACATGGATTGCCTCTCAACCACGGGGCCTGCCTGTTCCTGTACTTATCTGTTTGCCTGACCTGGCTTCGGACTCCTGGACCTCTGGGCTTGCCTGTTCTGATCTGTTTGTCTGACCTGGCTTTGGACTACTGGACCTCTGAGCCTGCCTTTTCTGATCTGTTTCCCGGACCTGGCTTTGGACTCCTGGACCTCTGAGCCTGCTTGTTCCTCTTCTGATCTTTTTGCCTGGCCTGGCTTCGGACTCCTGGACCTCTGAGCCTGCCTGTGCCTGTTCTGATCTATTTGCCTGACCTGTCTTCGGACTCCTGCTTGTTCTCCAGGGCCGCAGCATCTTGGACACTCTGGGCTCCTAACTTGTTGGAAGCCCACCGGCTGGATCCTACCTTGTTCTGTTGGCATGGACTGAACTTGTAAACCAGGTTGTGACTCATGTTCATAATTATCCTCGGTTAGATTTACGTGGTCACTAATCTGTGTTTCCTGCCTCAAATGAGCTAGATGCTGCAACTACAGATAAGATCAGAATGCTTTTTGAGTAACCCCAATGTCTGTCTTGCCTGAATACTGGGTCCCTCTGTTTTGAGTAATGACAGTATAAGGGTTACTTTTCATGTTTAAAAATGAAATTCAGCACTCCCCAAGTGGCATAGAAGCATGCATGATTCTTTTTTATGTAAAAAATGTCATCAGCATAATCCATCCATATATTTCACATTGCGGATGGCTTTTTCAGTTCTGGAAGCTTTTCAATTTTTTCTTTCATATACCTGTATATACTCATTGAGTTTTAGGTTCTTCAGACCACAGGGTATGTCTTCAAAAAGTAAGTTCTTCCATGTGTATATTTGCTGTGTAGAGGGTATAAATTAATTTGGCTGGCCGGGCTGGTATGTTTATTAACTTGGATCTTTTTAATTTTGCCATTGAGGAATGAACTGCTTCTTTTTGAATGGTTTCTCATCTTATAAATACAGGAATTATAATTAACTTCAGCCAGCATCTTTACAATGTTGTTTGCTTTTGATTTGGGGTTTATACATACAATTTGCACCACAACAAGTTAATCTCAGGGACACAAAATTGGTCTTCTTCCTAAGCAGTATGATGACTGAACATTCCTCTGCTGTTTAGAAAGACCAAAATGGAGCATTAATGCAGCTAAATATTGTACCCAAGACTGATTTAGACTTTAATTAATCAAAAAATCTCATTCAAAAGTTATTTGTTTAATTTTTGTATCCTTTTTATTGTAGATATAATGAAGGAGTCAATAATCATGTTGCGTGATTTATCAAAATATGATATGTATAAAACAATTAACAAAAAACATCTTTAAAAATTATCTTTTTAAACCATACAAAAAAAGTCCAGATAAATTCAGAATTAAATCAAATATAATTCTAAAATACCTTGGAAGTAAATTACCTTCCACATATACTGTACAGAGACAATAACACATAGGAGTAAAAATATACAGGCTTTCAATAGTGAGTTCTTTTTAGTGGTTTAAATGATACATAATTTAGTATTATTGAAAAACTTGAGAAGAGCCAATCAAAAAGTGCTATGAGACAAAAAATACTATTGTAAAATACATTGTAAAGCTAATTTTTGGTTGGGAGAAACGAGCCAACAAATAAATTTGGAAAATCAATTTTTTAAACATTTACCACTGGAGAAATAAAAAAATAAAAAAACATTTGGAACAAAAAGAAATTCAGAATACTGAAGTAAAAAGAGAAACATTAAAAAAAAAAAAAACTCAGAACACAATAGACCAATATATACATCAATAATGCAGTGTAAAAAAAAAGCAAAAAACGGGAGTTGTGTTTTAGTCTTTGATGTATGAATTTGTTTAAACATACAAATTGTTACACATTTCTTTAAATTATGCGGGTTACATTTTCTATAGTATGGATTTAAGCCTACACTCAGAACAAGTATATTTTGTGTTATTTAAGAACAGAGGCCATAAAAGTAATAGCAGTGTAGATTTTAGGTCAACCTGAAAAAGAGGATGCAATTAAAATAGACTTTACCAATCAGCATCCAGCAGAAGACCTTCACAGACAGAATTTCTCTTTTTTTTCTACAACAGGCTTTTAATTATTTATTTTTTTGTATAGTAAATATTGTGGAAGCTTATATTTGTGATTGCCATCATATCACAAATCAACATTCACTCAAACTCATGCAATAATTGAAAAATATATTCCAATAGAATGAATGTCATTCAGTTGTTTTATTTCTTGTGCTTTGTTTCAGCATTAGCCAATGTTGGAAGTCAAATAAATTAAATACAAATGGAGATAGTATAGAGAAGGTAACCAATATATTAATAAATCTACAGTATGTATTATCTGCACCAAAATTACTGTTTTGGTAACTGTAGTTCTCAGCAAGGTCTCCTTGCGGAATTTGCACTTTATTTGCTGTATTGTGAATCAGCTGAACAGTTTTGTTTTAGGTTACCCTATAATCAGTCTGTGGTTAAATCAGTGAACAGCCTGTAGACCAGTTTTTCCACAGTTTCAGGTGTCAGAGCTGGGCCGTCCTGCTGGAACACACTGAAGGTTTGTGTTAAAGTACTGAAAGATCTGGTTTGAACATTTCTGCTTTTATCTTTATGTTTGCTTTACTTACTTTACTTTAAGTTTTACATAGTCTTATAAAAAAAATTAAGCATCAATTTGAATTTAAATAGCATAAAAATATTGATATCATGGAGTTTCATAATTGCAAATTCTAAATTTTGTTGATTTCTCAATACTTTAAGACCCAACCAAATAACTGATTAAACACTAATATATTAAACACTAATGAAAAGGATGAGTAGCTCTAAGGGCTTTATATCATTGTATGAGGTAGGATTATTTTCACCCTTTAATGTTGTTGTTTGCAAAAGATATCTGAGATATGCCGGTGAAGATTCTTAGTCATCCAGGTCATAGTCATTCAAAAAAAGTGAAAAACAAACCACTGGACTTAGCTTTCCAAGTTTTAAGACGTTTCACTTCCCATTCAGAAAGCTTTTTCAATTCAAAATGACTGGATTAGAATTGAGTTCCACGCTTTATAGAATAGCCCAACAAAGCCTTGTTATGGCTTGGAAAACATGCAAATTGAACCGTAAAAACAGGTAATCCTGCAATACTTGATACTGGCCTGTGCCTCTGAAAAGGCGAGATGTTTTGGTCCCCTAGATTTATGCAGCAGAACAATAATATTATATATCATCATAAGATCGTTGGTAAGCCTAAAACTATTAAAAACATTTTGCTTTCTTTTTTTTTATAACATGTTTGTTTTGACTGGAGGCAATTGTGATGTGGATCAATCAGTCCAAGTCACAACTGGAATCTCAAAGACAATCTTTGGAGGAAGCTAAAGACTGGCTTAGAATGATATCAAAGGGCCACAGTCCTACCACATTTTAATATGTCCTTTGTCCAATTTATTTCCGTACTGTGCTTCCATTAGTCAAGTTCTAATATCCTGAATTATTGATTTAATCATGTTTTAGCTGAGACCAAAATTTCCCAGACACAAGCCCTCATAAATAGTTTGACACCTAGTTTTACGAGAGTGTGAGCAATGAGTCATAACATTTTAAAGACTTGAAGTTAACATTTAAGAAAATGTACATAAACACTGATCAATAATCATTATTACACTTAATCTTAATTTTAAAATCTGAGTAATCCAGGAGCTAGCTAGCTTCACAGACAGACAGACAGACAGACAGACAGACAGACAGACAGACAGACAGATAGATAGATAGATAGATAGATAGATAGATAGATAGATAGATAGATAGATAGATAGATAGATAGATTGATTGATTGATTGATTGATTGATTGATCAAACTATAGATGACCTCAGAATTTTGCCCTCTGTACTGTTTGGATGCTCTACTGTACGAAGTGTGGACAAGTCTGTAAACGAGCGAAATGCTTCAGGGTTTGATTCTTTCTTTACTGTTTCAGGTGGTACAACCTTCACTGGAGTGCAGAGATGTTTCAGCCTCTGTATTGAGAAAAACAGCAGAATGCAATTTCAATATTTGATTTGGTCATTTATGACAAAAACAAATAATGACAACAGATGCAATATTGGAATTGCCTTCCCTATTAAATATGGAGCAAATATTGAAAAATAAATTATAGAAAAAGTTTTCTCTATAAAGCAAGGGATGAATGTGTTTACCAGTTATTTGTTAACTAGCAAAATAAATGATTTTTAGCATCAAACACAGTGTTTTTGTGTAAATATATTTACCTGCTTAAGTGTTCCTGGAGTGACAATTACAACATACAGCATCCAAAGTGGAACAAGCAACGTCGAAGAAAGAGTGAAGAATAGTCCCAAGGCGTATCCCCACCATGGGTATTCATACGTGTTGTTAAATTTTAGAGGCGTATGTTTGATCACAGAGAACAGAAACGTGAACTAAAAAAGGAAAAAAACAAAACCGGGGGGCGGAAAAAAAATGCTTGTCAATTTAGGACGCCATCTGAGAGCTTAAAAACTTAACAAATTAACAAAGTGTAAAAAATTGTTGAACCACCATAGGATCCTCACTTTAAAAAGACAGCTGAAAGTATAGGACAAAAGCTGTTTTTATACACCTACTTCATAATAAACACTTCCAAGAGAGCAGCATATTTTGCCATATAAGATATAAAATAAAAATTTTGGGGGAACTAAACATGCTGTAGTTTAAGAAGATATTTATACTGCACCCATACAGCATTTATGGTTTGAATATAGATATGGAAATCTAAAACATGAAGTATTACATGATAAGCTACATGTTCTGCTGTACATCCTGAAGATTTCAAGGCTTCACATTTTTCTGAAAGGTAGGTTTTTAAATAGGGCTTTTCTGCAGAAAGGGACACACTTTAAAGTCAAGTTCTATGTAGTCAGTGATAGACCTTCATATTGCCTTTATACAGGAACGTTTACAAGTTATTTTGGAATGTTCTTTTTAGGTATAAATTTCTTAAAGGGGAAGCCAAAGTCAAAGGTCAAACCTTTAACACTTTTTCGCTTTTTTTATTTGTTACGTTTAACTGAAACTAATACTAACCACTTGCAAAACCGAGGAACATGCTTTGCATCTTATTTTTGTTATCATAAATATCCAGGTTTTTCATCATAAGTATATCTTTGCTGGAGGGACTGTATCGGCACTTCCTGCTGTCTTAGCAAATGAGTGCTGCAGAGAGACAAGCTGAGAAACTGCAAGTATTGTGTGACAGGCCAGGGGTCGGCAACCTGCGGCTCCAGAGCCGCATGTGGCTCTTTAGTGCCCCCCTTGCGGCTCCCTGGAGCTTTTTCAAAAATTTATGAATTTTTTTTTGGTTAGTTTATTTTAATTTGGTGTGCAGGAGGTCAAACAGACATTTATTATGTTTTCCAATGCTGTAACCATTTATATATTAAATAAATTAAAACAATATATGTAAACACTTTTTCAACGAAAATGTGCATCATGACCATAGAGATCAGTGGTCAAAGTATGCAACACATGTCAGCGCAGTGCCAGGCAAAGAAAGCGGCGGGTGTGTCTTGGGCCATGGATCCCAAGGGGAAAAAAGGAAGATACCTGATAAGAACAGGGGATTCAAAGAAGAATGAACTAAATAATTTGCCTTTATTTTCAGTGCAGAAGGATTGCCTACATTTTTGCTCTGGCACGAGAATTTGTCAAATAATAAAAATAGTAATTTGGAAAGGCATATACAGGGAAGGCTAAATATGCAACCGATCACAAATCGCAACAAAACGCAACAAAACTTAAACAGTGTTGCGAAGGGTGGTGTAGCGGCGCACGGTGAATTCCATGCGGTGAGAGTGTTCACTGCTCATCCCTCACCTCATGCTACTATGTGGCATTTGCTGCAGGATTAACATTTAATCATGGATGCTGATTATATATTTAAGCCCACGTAGTCCTTATTTTATAGTGGTCTAATACACTTAGAGCCCATGTTGCCATACAAGGCTTTTATATAGGGTTGGGAATTGATAAGATTTTCACGATTCCGATTCCGTTACCGATTCTGTGAAACAATTCAATTCCTTATCGATTCTCTTATCAATTCCGTGAAACAATGAACTTGGTAAGTGCACAGTGACATTCGTCTACCTTCGACTGGGACATTCTCTTTCTGCCTGCCTCAGCGAAAAACAGAAGGCAGTGAACAGGAGCTGCCAGCCTCTGAGCCAGCCAGGCTACCCCTCTCGTCACAGTTTTTCTCTAAATATGTGTACTTGTGCATTCTCATGTGCTCGTGTACTCATGAAACGTCATCAACCACAGCTCCAGTACTGTTCCAATTTACAAGAACAGCAGACTGAGTACAGACAAAAGTCCCTGGATGTTTTTACCTCGCCCCTCCCTATTTATGTATCAGAGCAGACTTGTCCGTTCTTGAGATTGACAGCTATCCCTGCATGCACTGTTGCAGCAGCAGTTTTCAATGGAGCGCTCCATTGAAAGTTAAAAGTTCTCTTTTCTGTTGCTGTTGTTCAATAAAGGTACGTTTTAAGATCATTTGAGGCGAGAATGTTAAACTTTAAAGCATCATTATATGGTCAATTTACCGCTTTAATGCGTAATTTTAGAAAAAAATTCCGAAGTTGCGAGGACCGTGGCAACCAGTGGAGCTCCGAGGGTAATGGCAGCCAGGGCTAATTGCAGCTTGTCCGCAGCTGCCCTCTCTCGGCATAGCCGTGTGTGAATGAAACGCTGGCTCTGATGGTGATTTATTTTTGTTTTATTTGGCAAAATGTTAATCTAATTTGTGTTTATCTGATTGTGTTCATTATTATTGAATAAATGAAAAAAAGTCGTAATTTATTATCTTCTAGAGACTATTAATAACAGGAGGTGAAATGCAGCTCTAGATAAGCCGGGCATGTGGTTACGTTCCGAGTACGCTTCTGCTGCAACAGACCCATATTTATGCTGCATGCTCCCATTCTTACCAAGTCCATACTTTCCTGTGTTCTTCTTAAGAACATACTTGGTGAGGACACAAGTCTGTTTCGCAGGACGTTTCTCAATTCACTAAAACTCGCGTTTTAGTGAATTGAGAAACGGCCCTAGGCTCTGGTGCTGCCTGGAACTGTTAAGAGAACCGTTAAGCGAGCTGCCAAACGGTGCCATGGAATTGGAACACGCTTTCCCATCCCTACTTTTATAAGACTTAGGTTTTTGCGGCTCCTGACAGAGTTGTTTTTTTGTGTTTTTTGTACAATATGGCTCTTTGAGCAGTTTGGGTTGCTGACCCCTGTTCTAGGCCACAAAGAATAAACAGTTTGGTAGTTGTTGCATGCCTGCCAGGCTGTTTGTTTTTCTTTCCCCTCCCCCCTCCCCTTTGCTTCTACACAGGTAGCAGAAGCTGGGATCCATCCCTGATTTTCCTTTTCTAACATTCACTTGGTCTCTGAATTTTTTTGTGGCTGTCAAGTTACTTCCCTCTCTCCCCAGTAAAGGGGGGGGGGAGCCGTAACAGTGGTAAGAAGGAAGTCAAACCTGGTTTAAGTAAGTTTTACATACTTAAATTACTAGTATGTGTATATAAAAATGTTGTATCTTAAATATTTCTTCTTACAAGGACATACTGTGTGACATCTACTAAATTAATAGGCTTGAATAGCTCTGTCGCAATTACTTCAATAAGGTTATGATCTACTTGTATGTAACTCGCTATCAACTCTATTAGCATGCTAAAGCTTGTAGGCACAGAAGATTAATTGATGCCACATATAACATTATCAACACTTACAGTACAGATAGCTGGTGTGAAGTATTTCCAGCAATATTTCATGAAAGACCAGGGGCGATAACCAATCATATCCTGTATATTATCGTAGTGTTGTTCTGCACCTAAAACAATGAATAATTTTTATTGTGATTACATGTAGTTAAATGCATAGAGGCATTGCAAAACTAGATTAAAATAAATAATATATATCACATACCATAAACCCATCCAATACAGACGGACTGAAGAATAGCAAAAAATAAAAGTGTCATCCCACTGCAGGCATAGTAGTCAAACAGCTGGAAAACATAAAGGCCTCCCTGCAAAACAAAGCAAATACTTCACTGGAAAAATGTAAGCAATTATGATTATTATCATTATTAGTAGGGCTGCATGGTGCAACACTTTGTAGCATTGCTGCATTACAGCAAGAATGTGCCAGCTTGGATTCCGGCCCTGGGGGCCTTTCTGAATAGAGTTTGCAGCCTCTCCCCGTGTATGCATGGGTTCTTTCTGGGTATTCTGGCTTGCTCCCACAGTCTGAAAAATATGACTGTTAATTGGCATCACTAAATTGTCCTTAAGTGTGACTTTATTTGTGTGGGTGTGCATGGTTGTGTGTCTTTGTGTTTCCCTGCGACAGACCGGCAACCTGTCCAGGGTAAACCCCGCCTCTCTCCCACATGCTGCCAGTGATAAGCACCGGCCCCACTACAACCCTGATGGAATATATGGGAGAGGATCGATGAATATTATTATTAATTTCTATATTTACCCCTCCAAGGGTATATATAACTTTAAACATACTTAATCAATTGCAGCATTGTTGCATCATCACTATCATTACATAATCATTTGGAGCATTACAGTCCTGCATGAAAGTCCCAGAAAATGACACATAATTTATTGATTGATGGATGGATGGATGGATGGATGGATGGATGGATGGATGGACGGACGGACGGACGGACGGACGGACGGACAGACAGGCATAAGAACACACATTCTTAATTGTGGTTAAAAAAACTTACCTCAGTTACCATCACCAGACCAACCAGGATACCGCCTGCACAAATGCCGAGAAGTAGAAGTCTACGTCGGCGGGTTTTTTGAAAGAAGGAGGGAAACATGTCGGAGATGGTTGTAACCAAGGACTCCTGATACACAAACTGTTATGAAAAGAGATATTTATTTTTGGTGGGATTATAACTTAGAATGCTTTTATTTACCAACATCTATTTTGTAGTGTTTCCTACCTCACTATCTAATCCCAAGAAGACGATCATAACAAAGAAGAATATTGCCCAAAGCTGAGGTAGGGGCATTAATGCCACAGCTCGAGGATAAGCAATAAATGCCAAGCCTGGACCTGCAAGATTATATCAGATTAGTTCTCACAGATGGAGCACAACAATATTACACTGCAACTGTTTAAACATGAATCATCAACTTTCAATACCTGATTCAGCTACCATTGAAATTTCCACATTCTGCTCTTTTGCCATGAAACCAAGAACAGAGAAAATTGCAAAGCCAGCTACAAAGCTGGTTAAGCTGTTTAAGAGGCATAGGTAAATACAGTCCCTGTTTGAAAGATAGACAAATATCAAGAAAATACCTTACTGGACACTGTCATAAGAGTTGAGTATAAGTAGTGAGGGAAAAAACATGCACAAATACCTGTAACAGTTGTTGCTGTATTTGTTGTAACTTCCCAAAGATGTCAGAACACCTGTGCAAACTCCATAGGAGTAGAAAATCTGGCTGCCTGCATCCATCCATACCTGGAAATATAAATTATGTGATTATAGTTTTTGAACCTGAATGTACAACACTCATATTATTTATATTTGAAAATGTATACTCAACCCTGTAAAAATGCCAAAAGAAATAATCTTAGAAAAATTTCCACCTTCTCTGTGCCCAGTACCCTGTATAGCTCCAACGGAAACGAACTGAAATCTTCCAAGTGGTAAAATACAGAACAAAATGACTAAGTTGATATGATTGCACAAGAGCACACACCCTCTTATAGATGGAAATTAATGTTTGTTAAGCATTTGTCACCATATTGAGGCTCATACTATATAAGGGTCAGTGAGAACATACCTGTTGTTAAGGATGAAAAGTATGACTATGATTAACAATAAATAAGGTGTGGACTTTTCCTGATATGTTCTTAGTTGCATCAGACAGCAAAACTGAGAGCTTCCGTGCAAATTTCAAGATAATATATATTTGAAAAAGAAAGTCAAAGGGGCATTACTGTGAACTGGATGTCAATTCCAAATTTAAAAAAAGACAAAAAGAAAATTGGTCCAGGAGTCTATCTGTCTTGTACATATGACAACAAAGACCTGCATTCAGGAAACTGTTCGACATACGAGTTTGCATTGCAGCAAAACATGTAGACTTTTACTAGAAAGTTTATGATCAGAAGGGAATATATTTTTAAGCATGAATACGACTAAAAGCATACATACAAATCCAAAAATAGCTTCACTATGAGACGATAACTAAGATTCTCAGTGGTCAAGCCCAGAGCTATAGCCAATAAAGAACAATGAGGTATTCCAAAGAGAGTTGTGCTGTTATTACCCTGAATATCAAAGATTACATTGGCGTATGAAGCAAGAGTCTGTCCTGCAACCAGAGGGTTGCCAGTTTGATCCCCCACTCCATCCGTCTCAGTTGTTATGTCCTTTGGAAAGACTTCACCCACTTGCCTTCTGACAGTGGTCAGAGTACCCGGAGGTGCCTGTTTACAGTAGCCTTGCTTTTGTCAGTGCGCAACATGACAGCAGTGGCTACAAAAAAACTTATCACAATAAGGGTAAGAATGTGTGAGAGGCTGACTGTAGTGTGAAATATTTTAGAATGTCTAGACTTGAAAATGTGCTATATCAGTACAGTCCATTTCATTGTAAATTATTGTGACCATCGTATACAACAAATTTCGTAATTTTTTATTTGTAAAATCTTCGACGGTGCTATCCGTCTTCAAAAAGCTTTCCTATATCCTTTTTAACATTCCTGTGCAACTTGCACTTCTGCATTACACACTTGACATTTTTTTAATCTATGTATTTCAAATACTTGTACACACTGTAAGTAGCACTGTACCATCAAGCCAATTATTTATAGGTGTTAAGCACTTCTTGGAATTAAGCTTTTCCTTGATGGTATTGTAATAAAACTGAAAAGTAGATCCAACAAAGTGTTAGTTTGAGGGTTTGAATACCTATAGTTATGTTATTTAACTTCATTTATTTATTACCTGTGCACTAAGAGAATGTTTAACTCATTGGTACAAATACTGGGTTATATTAAAGGTGTAAAATCTTCTAAACTTCTTTATCTTGGACCGTAACATTTTTTTTTGATTATGTGTGATAGACCAACAAAAAGTGGTGTATAACTGTGAAGTGGGCGGTATGATTTACATTATTTAGAAAGGTTTGACAGATAGTCTAAAATCATCGTTGTGTACTAGCTTTCAGTCCAATGAACCAATGCATTATAGAAGTAAATACACCAGCAAGGAGTTCGGTAGGATTTTCTACATATAGTTTCTTAGCAGTCTCTCTCTCACTTCAATAACAAGTAGAGTATCATTTTAATTTGCTTTAAAATATGCTAAACCAAGTATTCGCTGAATATGTCTTAGTAGACAAAAAACTACGTTTTATACATTACCTGTGGGTCAGCGAGGCGGGATGGGTCAGGGTAGAGGTAGAAAACGATTCCATCTTTGGCTCCTGGTAAAGTCAGACCACGGACAAGCAACACTGCTAGCATCACGTATGGAAATGTAGCTGTGAAGTAAACCACCTAATGCGCAAAGATTGAAGTGACTGTGAGGACAAGTTAAGACAAAATCAGAAATTAGAGGTTATCTCTTGGACCTGGTCTCTACCTTTCCTGTAGTTTTAACTCCATTCCAGACACAGAAATAACACAACACCCAAGCAAGAAGCAGACATAGTGCCAGATCCCAACGAACACTTCCAATGTTATCGATCCCATCTGACAGCCCCAGGATTCTCCTCCTGCAACAGACTTTGTTCAGTAACGCACAGAAATCAAAGGATTAGAATAATAATCCACTTCCTGACACTTACTCCCAAAACTGAACCACTGAAGATGTTGTGTTCGTGTACAGGTGCAGAGAAGATGTGTCATTCTGACCGTGCTCAAAACAAGCATCTTCCAAGAAAGCAGAGATGTGGGGATAAGCGAACGAAATTAGCGTATACTTAAGAGATCCTGAAAGTCTGCTTTTTACCTGTGTTCCAGCTGTTGTTGCAGCTGACCCATGGCAGCTCAGCTCTGAAGGATGAAAACAGGTAGAGAAAAGTCCAGGCCAAAATCACAATATAGTATACCCCAGTGTACAAGACGACCACTTGGCTTCCATATCCCAAGCCTGCAGAGAGATGGGGCGTCTTTACAATTCCAAGGTGTGAAATACATTGAATTAAAAAAAATAAATAAACATTAGCGGACTTGAGAACCAGTTAGAGTGCTTTGTAAGAGCATTTATACTGCTTTTTACACATTTAATTTCACATCACCCACAATTTCTAGGATATTTGACCAAGATGTTTAGTATATGTGTGTCCATAATTATAAAGAAGAAAATTGAAAATGATAAATTTTGCATCTTTTCATAAATAAAAACTAAAATGCATGTGTTCGCATTTTGAATTTCAACTCTACTAGCTTGATTCTGCATTCTCTTAAAATGTTTAGCACATACCTTCAAAAAGAGGGCATATTTTCCTCCAACATGTTATTCCACCCTGGCTGGTGAACTGACCCAAAGATGTTTCAAGGAAGAAGAGGGGGATGCCACAGGTGAACAAGAATATAATATAGGGAATGAAGAAAACCCCTTCAAAGCAAGTATGTTGGTGATTAGTACCTCAGTCAACAAAATATATATATATATATATATATATTCTACAACTTTTTTAGCACTTACATTATCAACAAAGTTTAATGCACATATTTTATTGAGAAATGCTCCACAGAAACCTATAAAATCTTAATTAAATCCAGTGTTGGGATCCTGAGGCTTGCCCACCAGAGGGCGCCGAGGATCCTCTTCTGTTATATGTTTTCTGTTAGGGACTGGGGTTACTGTTGGGATCTGGAGATCTACCATCTGTCTCCAGCAGAGAGCGCTGTGGGTCTCCTGGGCTGGAGCCTCTAGCACACCTGAAGCTCATCAACCCATCAGGAGACCTTTCTACATAAGCAGCAGTCAGACCTTTCTTCGACGCCGCAGTGTTGACCAAGTTTGGTTAGCAAACTCAATCCTCTGTTTATCTAGTGAATTCCAGTGGGCTCTATAGAGAAACTGGATTCTAACCTGCCTCTGTCTTCTTTGCTCACAGATAGCCTGACTGAAGTCTGAAGCTCTGGATGAGCTTCACCTGGAAACCTGCCTGCCTGCCCTAGGAAGCTAAACCTGAAGATCTCAGTCTGGATTCCTCCTTCAGCTCTCAGGGAAGAGCTAGGAAACTGAACCTGAAGGTCTCAGTCTGGATTCCTCCTTCAGCTCTCAGGGAAGAGCTAGAAAACTAAACCCAAGTCTGAGACTCTCTAGTCAGAAGCTAGACACTGCTGCTGCTGCCGAGTTCTCTGCTACTTTCACATTCTCTGGACCCAACCGGTTTCCCCTCTCAAGGATCAGTCAGAACCTCTTCAAGGTATCATCAGAATTCAACTTATTTTGTCAAACCATCTAACTGCCTGGCTAACCAAACTCTCACCTCTTCAGATATCTGTGAAACCAGTCCCGGACCTGCACCAGAACCAGTCCTCATTAATGCTGTGTATTTTCCTTAATAAACATTGTTAAATTTTCCTCTGTCTCCAGTTTAGTGTTCTGCAGGTGGGTTAAATTTCTTAGCCAATCATGACATCCAGAAGTAATGGGGCCTCCATGCAATAGAAAAATTGGCCAGGTTTGATGTAACCTTGCTTTTTTTTTTTTTTTGGCAGCATTGGCTTTAATTTACAGCCTTTCATAAAATAGTTTAAGATATTCAGCAAAGGCACTGATCAGGAACGATTTACTGAATGTTTGTTTTTTTGAGGACTAAACATCTCTGTATATGAATGTCATGCTCTGTGGTTACAGCATACATCACCACAATATAGTGCTCTTATTAAAAACATATAAAGATGGTCTGATTGGTAGACACTACGAAAACAGTTTTGGGAAAGAAGGGCTGTTTTTTAATGATGTCAGTCATTTGAACATGTCAGCCAACGATGTGTTTCAAAAAGAACAAATGCAGTAGAACAATTGAAGGAGAACATCAATGTTCTCTATGCTATGTTCTCTCCTGCTTCATAGCTACTTGCCGACTCGGCTCTGTAACCACTTTTCATTGTATTTTTGAGACATAACACTGGCAAAACTTCAACTCCTAATATTAATCACATAAATCCAGTTGCTGTATGTTTTATTTTATAACAAAAATTTCAGGAAGTTGATCCAAGATGTACAGCTATTTTCGACAAAACAATTACCTCCTCCATTTTTGTAGCAAAGGTAGGGAAATCTCCAAACGTTTCCAAGACCCACAATGTGTCCAGCCACTGCCAAGATGAACTCCATTTTCGTAGCCCACTGGTCCCTCACGTGAGTTTTTGGCTCAGTTCTGTCAATCTGTGTTTTATTTTTCTCTTGGGTGAATTCTTTTTGGTCCATTTTAACCTTAATCAAGATCAAATGAGCACAGGTTCTACAATATTAGACACAGCAATTACCAGTTAAATACAGATAACAAACTCAACACTTTGTAATGCATTAACATTCAGTTTAGCATTTTTTAACAGTCAAAATCAAAAATAAACCAACAACCCAAAAGAAAATGGACAGTTAGTTTACTATTTGTGTTATTAATTGCATTTTATTCCTCTTCTGTTCTTTAGAGAATGTAGCTACTGTGCTAAGAAGAAAAAAAAAATGAAAAGCCAGTATGTGTTATATACCTGAACTTTAGAGGTCTAAATCAACATAGAGCTACAAACATGATCTATATGTACAGTACATCATATTTGAGTTGTTTGTTATATTTGTATCCATTAGTTTTTTTTGGTTTTTATTTAATTGTCATGTAATATCTTTATAAAAAAAAAACCTATGTGTCTTACTTTGAGTGGAAGAAGTCCTTTCCTGTCTCTTCAGAAGATCAAATGCCTGCTACTGTATAAGACCTGGGCTATGCAAGGTTTTTGAAGGGAGTGGCCACTGAGACAAACACAACCTATTTTCTAAGAACCAATAGAAACTAGAGTTACATTTACAGTGGTCTGTGACTGTTTTGTCTAGATAAAGAAGATAATCACCTCAGGCACTGTGCAGGGCTTCAAATTTATCTCAGGGGCTACAGGCCTTAGATGTAGCACATTTGTTCCCCCTCATGCAATTCTTTAAAATACAAAGAACTGAGTCTATTTGCACTTTCTTGTTAGTTGGTTGTTAGACTTGTTTCACTTTGACTAAAGATTTGTAAAGTTAGCTCTGTACTTTCCTAAGGAAGATACATTTTAATTAAATACATGTGTCAAAAGGCTGAACCTGAAAGCTTTCTGAGAAGTATTTCCCTTTATGTTTTGTGTTGCACAGTATATCCAGGTATTTAGAGCAATACTAGGAATTTTTCCTTGAAATTCATGCAGAGATGAAACAATCTAATTACAAGATATACAGTTCCAAAAAAAATGACAGAAATAACTTTTAGGAAAGTCTTAAAGCTACAAAATCCCTTTAAATGGTTGTATGATGACAAAACATTTGCATCTCTATCTTAATGGTATATATATATGTTTAATTTCTTAAGCTTGGCAAACAAATAATGCTTTATATGGAGTACTGATGCGTGAATGATATTAAAAATGCCATTTTATTCTGATTGCTAATAGAATAATATATTTGTGCTGAAATAAACTATTTTAAGGATTATTGTAATATTACCCAGTTGTGTTCCCTTTATCTTGGCTAAAATATCTTTAAAAAGATATCAACATACAGTATATTAAATTAAGGGAAATATGCAAAGTCTTTATACCCTGCTGTGGTTCATAATATGATAACAATAAAACATTAAAGACAGATTTGTTTTTTATTTTTATTTGTTTATTGGCGTTTATTGCATTTTATCAATTATTTCAACTGCAAAGTTTTTCATGTTAAGAAAGCTTTCAAAAAATTACACTCTTTTCTAGAAGTTTTTATACCATAACAAGTGGTTGTTTCTCATTTCCAAAACTACATCCCCTTATTTTTAAATTGGATTAAAAAAATAGAATTATATCTAGAATTATATCTAGAAATAGAAATATTAGTGCCAAGTTTTTTTGTCACTGAACTTCAGATTTGAACAATTAAAGACATACTTTCTGTTTACCACTAGAGGGCAGTATTTCACATAACCTTTGACATTTGGGCCATGGGAACCTGTGACTATCTCCAGCATTTACTGGGCAAGATTTATGCCTTGGTTTATTCACCAGCCCATTAGGGCAACAGAGAGACACATGGGACAAATAACAGAGAATACACACTCATTCTGTGCTTAAGAATAATGTAGATTGACCATATATGTCATCAGTAATTCTTTTAGACTGCAGGAGGAAGAGTATCAGAGTAGAAACCAGTTATAGAAAAAAACCTCATGTTATAAGATTCAAACCAAGGACCTTGCTACTAGTTAATGGTTTGACTGCTACACAGAGATGGGTAGTATCAAGTTAAATTTACTTTAGTCATTTTTTGAAAAACAAAGCACTTTGAGGAGTAGTTTTGCAGCATTGTACTTTTTAGTTTTACTAGAGTAAATATATGGTTAAGTACTCTTACTTGAGTAAAATTCCTTGCCACTCCATCTATTGTGTGTAACTTCATTTAATCAAAACAAGGCTTATTGGTTAAATGTTATTTTCCATCTGCTACGTCTGTCCTCTCATTTGGAGGTTGAGTGTAATTTAACCTACGCGACTTAACCTAAACACTGTAACTATTGATTTTGGAAATTTTATAACTCAAAAAATGTTCTGTTGTTATGATCAGGGGTAGTCAGTAGATCAGTTAATCGGCATTTGAGCAGCCTTTTTACCAAACACCTTTTTACTCTTACTTCAGTCATTTCTTTACCGGTTACATTTTACTTTTAGTTTAGTAAAGATATGATGAAGTAGTGCTACTTTTACTTGAGTAAATTGTTTGGGTACTCTACCCACCTCTGCTAGTGCACCATCAACCCCACCCACCGCCATTTGCGTCATATAAATGATTAGCTTGAGTCTTTCTATGTTTTGATACTTATTGTACTTGAATAAGACACTGTTTCACTACTGTGTCTGCAATATTTTAATGTCTAACCCGTGAGGAATATATTAACTGTAGCCTAGCATGGAGCCTATTTGAACATGCTTATTTTTTTTATGTTCCCCATGCAATAATAAGTAATAAATATACATTTTTGCATATGGGGTCACCTTAACGATTTGGGATTTCATTTTAGATTTTGTTCCCTTTTGATACAATTGAATTCTGATTTATTAACATTAGTTATAGTCAGTTTTGTGTGTGATAGCTAATAGAAATATCCCAAAAAAGTTTAAAAAACAGAAATATTATGATATAAAATATAAAGATTTTGTCTAATTTTCAGCAAATAAAGTAGGTATGAAGACAGGCAGCCAGGCTGGTTGGTTGGATCATTTTCCTGTATTCAAGGGGAAATCCATCTATCTCAAATATTTTACGGCCTCTTACATATGTTCTTAAAAGACTGTCAAGAGCTGAGAGGAAAATGTTTGACTTTCTATGGCTTTCTTTAAAAAAAAAAAAAACAGCTTTCCTTATGTCATAATTTCTGAGAAATCAGATTTGTTAAGTGCACTATCAATTACTAACTTACTGTTTGCCAGATTTAATTAACATATTCCTTGCGTGACCTGTCACTTTAGGTGGACAGACATGTCTTAGGAGGTTTGAAGCTCATGCTTATGTTTAGGGCTTGCGATATTGACCCTTCATGATGCTGTTTTATGTTCTCAAAGAAACATCAACTGATTTGAAATACACCAGTGAGGACTTTATTTTCTAATTAGGTAACTTCTAATGGTAATTAGTTGCATCAGATGTTGAATGAGGAGTATAAAGATAAGGAGGAGTGAATACATTTGTATGTATTCATCAGTTTTTGAAAAGACATTTTGAAAATTCTGTATCCTCTTAATTCTACTTACCAGTTGTGTGTTATTTATTATTGGTCTAATTGTCTCCCTTATTAATTTCCAGTAAAATCTATTGGAATTAGTTGTAATACTGTATGACAAAATATGAAAACGTTCAAGGGCAAAATTACAGAGAATACATAACATTTTGTACTTTGGTATACAATCATAAAACCTCATCACAACATTACTTGTGTAACCTAATATAACTTAGAAAAAAGATCTTGTCCTGTTGGCTTGGCACACAGCTACATTTCCGTGTACTTACGTAACTTTATGCGGTGCAGCTTTGAAAGACACTGCCAAAGATAATTCATTTACAACCCTGTAATGATTTGTCTTACATGTTTTTCCTGTGATCTTTGCAAGCCTCTCAGTCAGGGATTCACAAACAGACCTATTCTAAGAAGCAAAGCAAGCTGCTATAAAATGGACACGGCTGAAAGAAAGACAGAGAAACTTCCTGATCATCAGGCTTCAGAGGTTGTCAATAAGTAAGTACACCTATCATTTCATTCTCATCTACACTGTTATAGTGTTCTTGTTATGTGGCCTATATGAGACATACAGCTTTGACAAGCTTACATCCCACATTTTATACATTTTTAACAACTCTGCGAAAATAGAAGCGTTTACATGAACATCATTGATTCAAATCATTTTAGACACTTCCCATATAGCTGTGTATGGCAGCCACGTGTCAGTAAAACATGTAAGCATTCATGTACTCATACACTGACTGCAATAATGATGCTCCCAAAACTTAGCTTTTTTTTATGATAGAAACACTTCTATTCAATTCAGTTTAACTTATTAGCATGGCTGAAATTTGAACATTTAAGCTCTAGGCACCCTCGAAAAAAAAAAAAGCTACAATTAGTTTATAGAAAAACATAATCCTAAATCCCTGTTTTTATTTTGCTTTATTTTGTCTTTCTTTGCTTTTGCTATTTAGTAATAGTTTTTTTTTTTTATTAAAGAGGAACCTAGACAGTTGGATCTAATAAGCAACTCTACAAGAATCACTCCTCCTAACTGAACATGTGCCCTCAAACGATGGCACGTGATACAGCTTTTTTAAATCTTGATTTGTTTATGCTTTACTCAGGTGTCTTTATGGTGTTCTCACAAGGTTGAATATGTTTTCAGCCATCTGTTCAAATTTATTTCTTAATGAGGAAATGTCAACTTATCAGTGTTTATTTATATCTATTTATCACTACAAACACTTTTAATTACAGTTAGACACCATAATTATATTGTTTTATTCTTATAAATCATTTCTTTAAAATTGTTTTTCTAGCCCAGGAAACAGTGAGGATCTCCAGCGTCCCTATAGTTAGTGTTACCCCCTTCAACCAAAATAATTTAAGTTTTTTTTGTAGCCATGAACCAATTGATCATACAGCAGGAAGGTTTGCCAAATACACATTAAATTCTGCAGTGTTAGAATAACACTTTGAGAGTTAAATTTAACACCACTATGAGTGCATTTGTTCCCACTCTGAATTAGTGTTAAATTAAATCTCTACATAGTGTATATCTAATTCCAGTTGTTATTGCAATAACTCTAAAACAGTCAATGCACTTTGAGACTACATATTTAACACTGTGGAATTTACTCACAATTTAAGCTCTGATATATTCAATGGTTTCCTGTCTGCAGTATGTTTCAAGCCTCCTAATAGCATCTTAATGGGATCAAGATCTCAGCCCGCAGCTTTTCTTTTCTTATTTCTCAGCTAGTCTTTGGTGCACCCATGTTTTCTGCATTCTCATGGTGTAATTCTGCTTCAGTGTTAATTCTTTAACATATGTTCTCACATTTCCATAAGCATCCTTTGATACCGGGGTCGATTTGTGGTTGTTTCTATGATGGTGAGTTAGCCAGGTTCTGCAGCAGCAAAGCCTCCAAAAATCAAGAAACTTCCACCCCCATGCTGGACTTCTGTTTTAATACTGGAAGACTATCTGTTTTATTCCAAATATTTCATTTAGTGTCCAAATGTTGAAGTTTTGTTACCCACTGTTTAAGAGTATTGTTGCAGAATTCCTAGTCTGTTGTATGTTTTCATTTTCAGACCTTCGTCTAACCTTCAGTTTTCTTAGAGAGCAAAGGTTTCTTCTTTGCACCACTCCCACGAAAATTAAATCTCTCGCTCTAACTGTACATAGTTCAACTTTTTTATCAGTTGTAGTAAAAGTTCCCATAATTTTAGCCTTTAGTCTCATATTGGGTTAACCTTCCGGATCATAGACTAATTATCATCTGACTGTTTTCCAAGCAATGTTTTGGCTTATTTTAATTATAAGAAAATAAAACAGTTAACTCAAGGTGTCAATTTTTACTAGAATTGTAAAATTGTGGGATTGAAAAAAAAAAAGCTTTTGATACCGATAAATCCCCCTCTCTAATAGCAGCTCAGTTGACCACCAAAATACTTATTAGGTCCTATTAGTTCTTTTTTGGCCATAGTATTCAGTTTGACCTTGCCACTTTCTTAAGAGCCTCAGAAATGGTCTAAAACTCAAGCTTTAGACACAGGCTTGCTCTGCCATGGTCTTTTCTCTCAACACAGTCTTCTTCTATTTATCCTTATATGGTGAAAGGTTCCTTGTTAAAACCATACAGGGGCCTTGTGATTGTCATTTAGTCCATTTTATTGATAAAAGTATGTGAATCACCTTTATGCCCTTCAATCTCAGGACTGTGCATGCTATCAGCAAGTTGTCCTCTCTCCTGTCTTTTTTTTTCTTTATAGTAATACAGTGGGCGGGCTAGGCTCAAAGTAGAGGGTAAAATTACACTTTGATTACATGTTAAGGCTTTCTGCTAAGGCTCTAAAGTACAATTTGTTCCATATAGAGCAGTTATGTATTTATTCTTAGCTATAAATAAGTTCAAACAGGTCTTCCGCTTAGACCTGTTTTTTCATTTATACATTTTTACATACTTTTGTTAATAAAGCAGCATGTTCAAACCTCAAACATTAGATCTTGACAAACTGATGGGTTAAAATTTTGTCAGAATACACTTCAGCTCAATGATACAGTATAGGAAAAACTGGGACTTTGTTCAGCACTCAATGAACAGTAAACCATTAAGTTAGTAATGTAAAACTGAAGCCCAGTTTTTTCAGGGGGATAGAAACTGATGAACAAAATTAAGCTTTATTTTTAGTGACATTACAAGTGGTCTATTAAAATAATTGGGACAAAGTGCAACATGATGCCTCCCTGCTTTATTTCATCTGCCAGTGGCAGCTGTAAAAACTCAAGCTTGGTTTTCTGGATGTTGTATTGCTGATAAAAGGCTCATCGATAACAAAGCTGGTTATAAAACTATAAATCAATTCTCTACGCTTAACCTAGATGCGTTTATTGAGATGTTCATAACTGTTTTGTAAACACAAAAGCGGAAGAAAGACTTAGGTATAATAATTATTTAAAACCTTTAATTATAGCACATATATTTGCACAGTAAAAGTTATTCTATGCTCTAACACAGTGATGAATAATTTAGGAGGTAACAGAAGGACTCGGATCTAGGTCTGAGGCACAGAATCTTCCTCTTAACTAAAATAAGATCACTGTTTAAATATATAGAAGAGACTAAGCTAAATTAGAATCAGTGGGAGACATAACAGCCAGAAATACTGCTGACAAAAATAACACAAATGTTCCTTTGATATACTAAATATAGTATGGACTGAAATCAGGTAAAAAAGTTTCTAGAATTTATCTGGAATATGCTGTAAAATTATTAATTTTACAGTATATTTCAGCAAATGCCTTGTTAATTTAAAATTAACAAGGCATTTCATCAAACCATGTCTAAGATAGCTGTGATATCAGGATGTTCTGAGGCTGGTTCTGAGGTGATGGATATCTTGCTGAAATTGACCTAAATGAGAATTATCTTCTCAACCAGAAGATTATGAAGCAAAAAATGACATCCCTATACAAAGAAAAGTACAGATAAAATATTTATAATACTGATTAGTTAATCAGTAAGCACTCGTGAGGTTCATCGCTCTTTGATTTTTTTCTTTTTCTTTCAAGCTAGACGGTCCTGCAGTAAATGATGCTGCTGCATTTTTTTTTCTGATCAATGTTTAGTACAATAAAGCAAGAGGTAAGTAGTCAATGGAGTAGTTTTAAAGCAAACAAAATGGACCAATGAGACACACTTTCTTCTTTTTGTATTCAAGGCTTAGGTTTGTAATGTTTTTTTTTTTAAATCTGCTGAGTCTGCTGTGTCTTTTGGAAGTTAAGTGAAAATGTAATAAACAGTATGCTGTAATTTAACCTATTCTACATAATGTAACTACTGATTTGACAAGTTTATATCTCTAAAACTGTTAAATCAGTTTTTATGACCATGGGTAGTAAGTAGATCAGTTAATCAATACACTGATTGAATACACATTTTACTAAATAATTTTTTTTCTCTTAAGTAATTTCTCAAAAGGATACTTTTTACTTTTATTTGAGTAATAATATGATGAAGTAGTACTACTTTACAATAAAAACAACTTAGATACTCATTCTAGTGTGCTATCTGTAATAACTGTTTGAATCATCAAAAACACCACTTATCTTCATGCTTGATGCAAGATGTTGTTGCCATTGGTGAATATTTTTTTTTTATTTTGCACATCAAGATTTTGAGGTTAGGGGACAGTTGACTTGTCACATACAGTACTGTAATGTCAGGTTGAGTTGGATATTTTCTTTTTCAACTTTTAAAACCTTTTCAGATGTTCTGACAAATGTCTAACTAATCACTAGAAGAGTAGAAGAATTTGGAAACGGTATGATCATTTTTATAGCTCTGCTGAATCCCAATAAAGCAGAAAAGCTGTAAACACAACGTTTTTCTTGCATTCAAACCCCAAACTCTGTTGGTTTCACAGGACACAAACATTGCCTCTGCTTTAATGATAAACTTAATATTTTGAGGAAAATATTTTATGTAAAATTTTCTAGATATAAGCAGTGGATTTAATCATCTGAGTTTTGCCCTAATTGTCTCTTAAGCTGTATGGTAGATTTTTGACCACTAGAGGGTGTACAAAGATTAGCTTTGCCTTTTTACAGCTTTGTGGTGGTGTGCTCACAAAGAAAGCATCTAACCAGACAGGTAGCCTCAACATAGAAAAATAAAAGCAGTAATTTTACCACAGTCAATTAGGGAAGACTAAGTTTAATTTGGTTTAGTTTTCTTTCACTTTTTTATTGACATTTGTTTTGTTTCTTTTGTTTGTTTTTTTTATTAATTACACATCCGGTTTACTTTGATGTTTAACTTGAATCTTAAAAACAGATACTTATTTGACATATTTTTATCATATGTATATATTTTTGTATAAACATGTTTTTGTTGCTCCTTTTTATGTTATTGATTTGCTTGGTTTTTAGTCTACAGTATTCAAACCAGAAAATAAACACTGAAAGCAAGTTTCAAGGGCACGGAAGTTCTTTTAACTCTGAG